AAAATTTAAAATTATAATTATACTAACTAATATTTAAGTAATTTGTGGATGTTTTCCTATTAATTTTTTAAAAGTTTCAGCAAAGAAACACTTTATTTAAATTTTCAAAATCATTTAAAATTAACAATGAAAGAAAAATGCTAGCAATAGTCCCATTTTTGCACTGTTCTTGGATACTCATAACATAATTGGTCCACGTGTTAAGGATTTTACATTTAAATAACTATACCTTTTACAATAACCAATGATAGGCGAATACATGTCACGTGCAGCAATCACGTTGTTTTGTAGCAAAGGCAAAATATAATTTTAAGTCGGCAAAATGAAACATCGATTTAAAAATAGATTAAAATGGTATGAAATAAATTAAAATTTAAGTATTTGATTTTATAGTTTAAATTATTTTTTATTATAAAACATGAATTCTCTAATGGGAGAGGGTCTTTCTATCAAATTATTAATGTTTTATGATTCAAAACAATTCAAATTGTAAATTTTTTTAAAAAAAATTTTAAAGATAAAATTAAAAATTAGTGGGATTTAGTTGATCTCTTTTTAAAAGTTTAGATGGCATGGAACCCCAAGCCCCTATATCGAGTTTTGATGAAGCGTGTAAAAAAAGATTGTTAATAAGAAAATTGTAATGGGTGTTTTGGATTGGCATTAGTAATATTTTTTATAAAAAAGTTAACCAATCCAATAAAATTTAACAAAATTTTATTATAAAATTTACTAACTTTTCATATAAAATATTCCCAATCACTTTCCTTACAAAAACTGCTGCTATAAAATTGATCTCTAACTAAAACCTAGAGTTTACAATAAAAAATAAACTATATTTTCTTTTCAAAATCTCCTTATACTCCTACCAAATTCTTAACTCAAGGTTTTTAAATAGAAATTTAAGTTCCCAATAGTTAAAAAGTATAACTTGAGGTTTATCTCTTATTACTTTCTGTTGTAGGTATAGTTTTTAAATTTTTCACAAGTTTGCCAATAACTTAACTTAGTGATAATCTCTTTTTATTATAAGTAAGAAGTCATGAGTTTGACCAACGAGGAGTTGGATCAAGTGGCAAGCGGCTTGTTCCAGCTTAAGCAAGGTCTCGAGTTCGAGACCTTGTATACGCAGCAATCTTCGTTGGGAGACCCACCCACCATTCTGGTGCGCCACAGCTGGTCGAATCCGGAGTAGTCGGGACGAAGCCCCGGATACCGGATGGGGAACCAAAAAAAAGAAGTCATGAGTTTGAGACATATGGTATGTGATTGAGATGAGGTAAGGGATGGGAGAGAATTGACTCTCATTGTGCAAATCAAAATAAAAAAAAGAAAAAATCTTCATGATTCTACCTAAGAATTATAATCTACTGTGTAATCTCTAATTTCTTTACCAACATAACACCCATCATAAGTTTATTTGATGTAATATACTTTTTAATCATTGAATTTGAATCTATGATTAGTATACTTTTTATTAAATATTGATATTTAGATTTGAAAACTAATCATCTTAGAATATATAATTAGTTTTTAAATTTAGATATTAATGCTTGATAGATGAATTTCTTAATTATAAATTTGAATTTTAGTTTACAAATGTAAGTTAGAATTTTAATTTTTTTTAAGAATTGAGACTATATGTACAAATTTCTAATTAATAAAAGTAAAATATAATAATAAAATTAAGGGCAAAAAATATTTGATTATTTAAAAAATAAAAAAAAATAATTAATTTAAAGTAAATTTAAAATTAAAAAACTAAAAATAAAAAAATAAAAATTATTTTGAAACATAATAAATTGTACTTTTTTATAAAAAGATTTTATGGTAGAATTGACCTCCAGACAACGAGCCCAGGGTTTACAATTATAAATAAACCATGTTTCCTTTTCTAAATCCCTTTCTGCTCCTCCCAAAATTTTAACTTGAGGTTTTTAACATTGGAATTTAAGTTTCCAGTTGTTAAGACATTTTAGAAACGGTCAAGCGTAGGCTCTATATATAGGAGATTATACATTTGGGCACCCACAGTCTCTTTCCATTTATCCTGTCTCCCCTGTTTATGTTTGCCTAGAAGCTCTTCATAGATTCTATCCGGTCTTTGAGCAACCGTTTCCAACTTCCAACAAGTAAGCTTCTGCAATATTCCTTAAACAAATACTTCAATTGTTCTCTATACTGATCATCAAATGTTTATATATATAGTTTCTTAAATCACAAAGTAAATTAATTATTGAAAAAAAAAAAACCAGTAAAGAGATAATTTTATTAATTAGTGGTATAAGGGATATTCCATTAAGAAATTAATTGAGGTTGAATCTATACCTTTCTTTCTTCAGGGGATGGAGGAAGCTTCTCAGTCAGCTGAAATTGAATCAAGTTGCGATGTATCAATTACCATACAAAACGGCCGCGCAAGCAAGGAGCAGAAAATCCTCACGGTGTCTCCCCAGCTACTTGAGGTAAATAAAAAAGCCTATGATCCTTATATTATTTCTCTTAAATAGAAAATTTTAAAATAAAAAATATAATAAAAAATATGTGTTTAAAATACAAAAAAAAAAAAAAATATATATATATATATATATTCTATTTATAGTCTTCTTTTTTTATCAGCCAAAATGAAATATTATTAAAAGAGGTAGAATTCCTCAAGTTGTTACATGTTCATTACAAAGGCTTAAAAACAATCACTATACAATAAATACAGCATTATCTCCTATCAACACAAGCCAGTGGGAACTGAATCCAATCACTAAAAGTGAATTGTACATCTTCTGCTTTTCCTTTGAGCCACACATATGATTTAGCTTGTATGAAATCAAATATTCTACCTTCATCCCACTGTTCTTGTTTGAAGACAATCCCTTTCGTGCTGTCCAGAATAGACCAAAGTATCACAGAGAAAATTAACGCTCCTTGTCCAGAATGTAAGGGCCAAACGTTCCATGCACAAACTGATAATGTCATCAACAATCCTGGGCAAACAAAACATATCCCCCACCAGCTGCAGCATTTCTGCCAAATCTTGCTTGAAAATTTACAACTTATTAGCAAGAGATGGTTCCCTGATAATATCCGCTTCCACATGCAATAGGCCTCTTTTAACAAGATTATCCCTAGTTTGGATTTTGTTTAACATGATTCTCCAAACCAGAATACTAACCTTCGACGGAATAAGCCTGCTCCAAATAACTTTGCAAATCGTATTATACAAGCAGGAGCTATGGTCCATCATGTGCTTGTAAGCTTCCTTCCACAGTGTACCCTGAGCTTCTGTTAAATCGCCAGAGTTTTTCATTGTCAGCAGCTACATCCATATGTGCCTCACCCAGAATGGCTTGCATTAAGTGAAACTCTTCAGCTTCTCTGCCTCTCGGGTCTCTCCTTTGGATATTCCACGACTAAGAACTTCCATTCCAGCGGCCGGCCTCAGCTACCGTTAGTTTCCTGTTCATGCTCAATTTAAAAAGCCTTGGAAATAAATCCAAAAAAGAGTCATCACCAAGCCATATATGTATCAGTCCAAATGAATGATGACATGGAGGATGAAAATTTAAAATTAATAATGTTTTATAAAATATATCATTAAATTAGTTAATGTAAATAAAATTATGAATTTAAGAAAACAAAAACAATTAATTGTTAAATAATATAAATTTATTTTTTAATATTTTAAATGACATAATTTATGTCACGTCATTAATTTTAAATTTTAATTTTAAATTTTGGTTCTATTTATTATTATTGGTCAAATATTAACTCTCAAGGTTATTAACTTTCAAAAAAAAAAAAAAAAAACGGTCAGTGATCACATTTTTTGCCTGTTCACATTTTCCGCCACTAGTAATTAGTTTTGAATTACATCCAAAGTCTTATATTTTAGAATACATATTCAAATTTTTATACCTTTTACATGCACACCGAATATGAATTTTTGGTGGGTTAATAATGAATTCTCCATATATAAATAGAATCTAGGTTATGATGCCATCAAAAAATTGAACATGTGGCATTCATTTAGTAAAATATTTGTATTTAATTGAAAATTAATTGATAATAAGTAGACTAATTCTCATTATATTTAAATCACATTTTTTTTTGTTATATTCTAAATGTAAAATTTTTCACTCAATAATTTCTACCCTAAGTTTCTAATAAGTTATATAAATTCTTAGGCTCAATTTAATATAATTTTGATTTTTTTGATTTTTTTTATAACTTTTACAATTATTGAAACCAAAACTAAAAATCAAAAATTAAAAATTTATTTAAAATAAGTTTTAACATTGAAAATTAAAAATATTTACTTATTTAATAATATTAAAATTATTTTTATTATTATTTCTTTAATAATCATAATATTATGTTATAAAAACACATGAAAGTAAATGATTTTTTAATTTAGAATTATAAAATATGTAGAGAGTGAAAAGTCAAAACAAAAAATCCAAAATTACAGCTATACTAAAGGAGGCTTAAATTAATCCACAAAGCAAATTAATTAAATTTTTTATGAAAATTAATTTTTTTAAAAACGGTAAAGAGAAAATCTTATTAGTTAGTATTACAAGGGATACTCCGTTGAGAAATTAGTTGAGATTGAATCTATACCCCTTTCTTTCCTCAGGGGATGGCAGAAATTTCTCAATTAGCTAAAACTGAAAAAAGTTGCCATTTATCAATTGCTATACAAAACGACCGCACAAGCATAAAGCAGAAGCTGAGTTTGCCTTGGACAATGCCAGAGCAGAAAATCCTCAGAGTTCCTCACCAGCTACTCGAGGTAAATAAAAATGCCTATGAACCTTATGTAATTTCTATTGGTCCATACCATCGTGGTAAAGATCACTTGAAGGAAATGGAAGAACAAAAGGTGCGATCTTTAAAATGGCTTCTTCAAAGGACAAATCAGAGTGTTGAAATATATCTATCAGCAATGAGAATTATGGTGGAAAAAGCTCGTAATTGTTATTCAGAACCTTTAGATATTTCCATGGAAGAATTTCTAGAAATGATGCTCCTTGATGGATGTTTTATTATTCAGTTTTTTATGCAAACCTTGGAAGAATATTCTTTGTGCTACATCAATCTGATCTGGGCGAGCATTTTGCATGATTTGGCTCTAATTGAGAATCAACTTCCCTTTTTTGTCCTATGTAAGTTATTGGACAAAATCCCAAAAACGTTTTTCAATCCGATCGGTTCTTTAGATCCAAAACGCTTGTTTATCAGTGAGTTACTTCAGGTGTTCAAAAGGAATATGCCAGGGCTCAGGGTTGACAGAACTTATGATGCCAATTCCATGGAACATGTCAATCATATAGTACACTTATTACACTCCAATTGGCATCCTTCAGACAAAGCAATGAATGAATACCGTGTGAAGCCAAAAGATGAGAATTGGACATACATACGTTCGGCTACAGAACTAAGAGAGGCAGGAATTAAGTTCGAAATGGTTGAGACAGAAGGGAAGGATGAAAGGTGCTTATTTGATATCAAGTTTGAAAAAGGGATACTAGAGATGCCAAAATTGACCATTGAGGATGACACGGAGAGTTTGTATCGTAACCTCATTGCCTGTGAACAGTTTGACCATAGGCATCCAAAATTCTTAGCTCAATATGTTAGACTCATGGATTCCCTAATCAACTCAGGGAAGGATGTGGAGTTACTTTGTAAGAGTGGGGTAATTGATAATTGGTTAGGCAATGATGAATCAGTTGCGGTATTGTTCAACAGGCTCGGAGATCATGTTGGTTTCTCCAAAGAAAAATTCTTTTATGCCCAGTTATTTAAGGATGTCAACAAGCATTACAAGACACCCTGGAATGCATGGAAGGCAAACTTAAGGCACAAGTATTTCAACACTCCGTGGGCTCTTATCTCCTTTCTTGCTGCAACTTTGTTGCTTCTACTTACGGTGCTACAAACTTCATTTACGATCTTACCTCATCAATCTTGAAATTTCAAAGTGCAAGCAACCCAAGATCAAATGGTATGACCAAATGTGTGAGAAATGCAGATGTTACATAGACTAGTAGAAAAGGTTTGCTCCATTTGTCTTGTGTAATTACCGTATTGTATTGTACTGTATTTTCCATTTTAAGGTTTGTTTTGTTGGGTTTCTTTAAGCTTGTAAGTTACTGTATTGTAAGTTATCGTCTTGTATTATATGGCACTATATTGTTTTTTTATACCTATAAAATAGGAATTAAATCTTAAACCTATAATTAAGAGTACAGAAAACTTTATCAATAAACTACATAAATAATGGTGTATTATATTGTATTATTACCGTGTTTTCTTTAGGTCTTGTTAGAGCTATGGCATGAAAGTTGCAAATGTAATAAATAAGAGCTACTAAATAGTGCTGCAACATGACTGCACAGTAGCAGCAAAGTGACAGCAGTCTGGAGTTGTATTAGGTAGAAAAATATTATTATTTTATGTGTAACCTTCCTCGATAAAAAAGAAGAAGAAATTTTGAATGAAAATTGAGTGAGACAAAGTATGGTTTCTCCTCTCCAATTGGGTGAATGTCTGCAACCTTCCATAAATTCATGTTCTATAAGTTTTGTTCTCCACTCTGTTGGGTGCAAGTGAAGAGACAAGCGACAAGAATTGATAAAAGACAAAGAAGTTGAATGATTTAGGTGGAAGTTTATTGCATTGAATATTGGACTATTGATACAAGAGAAAAAAAGGGCAATAGTCTAAGAAAATGTAATTGTATACCTTCCAGTTAAAGCGATAGTTTAACCATAAATTTTCAATTAACCTGGGGAAGATGGACTAGAAGCCTAGAAAACGTCCAAAGAGCACTTTCACCTTTCTTGAAAGAGGTAAGATGGACAAATGCATTCTTTAGATTAGGCACTTCACTGAATGAGAAATCTACTGTGTGACACTTGTGTTCAAATGTCTCTAGTTCATTTCCATTGATTTGCATCTGCTTCAATTCATTTCGACCATGAACCCTTAAGCACTTCAAATGAGGACTCGAATGACACTTAAATCTTCAAGTGAGATATGTGGAAGCATTTATGTAAACTCAGTGATTCTAGAAGAGGGCAACTAGATAACGAACTTTGAAAATGTTCATCAGATTTCAAATCTACCCATCTAAGATCCAAGGTTTTGACAGTGTTATAACCAAGAAAATTGAGGTTTTCTAGAGCCAAATTGCATTGTTTTCCAATCTCAAGCACCTCAATGTTGAACTTACTTCTCTTGCATTCCCATCACCAAAAAGAAGATGATAGGGAAAATCATACAATCTACACAAGGGTCTAGTGGTCCAAACATCAAGATAAAAATAATGGATTAAAGAATCATCATTGACATCATAATCATCAACATCCCGTGCACTATAATATTTCCTTTCAAACAAACAAAGATCCAGCTCCTGAACCCCTCTTTCAGTAGCACAAGTAATCCAAGGATGATGCTGATTACTTGAGAATGATGCTGCTGCAAGTTTCAGGAACGGTGATATGAAGAGGTAGATATATATATGTATGGCTTTATAGAACAAGAGTCTAATTTGGACATGATAATACAAAGTCTAAGCTGAGTTACCAAGGTATCTTCAAATTTTTCCGTGGTGGGAATCCAAGGATCGTTTCTACCTATGAAGTAGAAGTGATTGGGCGTGCATAAAACAAATTCTGATGTGCCTGCATAGTGATTATAGGTTTCAAGAAGTTAATTTACAAAGCCAAAAACCAGACCCCTTATGGCTGAAGTAGAGCTTGTGTGTATGCAGTTAATGTATTCAATGGGGCTGTTAAATCGAAGTGGAATATTAGTGAATATAGTGTACTAAGTGGCACATGGATCATCATGAATAGCACCATCTCAAGATTACTCCAGTTGCTGCCTGTGACCTCTTGATTGTTGGAATATTCAAACCTGCAATGGTGATTGATATTGAACAATCCAATGAGAGATTTGTTGGTCTATGATAGATAGACCTGCGTCCCTGAGCGCAACAATCACCACATCAAGAACAATTTCTACGGGGTTAATTGTATTAGTTTCCAGCAGTTCTGAAATGATATTAGGGCTCGTTTGGAACCCAGGATAAGTTACGGGATGGGATAAAAATTAATCCCATCTTGATGTAACCTGCGTTTGGTGGACTTGTAAGATTAAATAAAATGTATCTCATACTTCGTCTTGTCTCAACCTTACGAAACAAAAGCTGTCCCACCTCCCCCCCATCGGATTACGTGGGATGGGATTTAATTTTTACGGGACTTTAATAAAACAAAATATCATTCTTACCCTCTTCCCTCCTCTCATCGTTGTCGTTCTCCGATCCCAAGTTCCCAAGCTCTCTATCACTCTTGTCACGGGCGCCATAGCGGTAGCCGGTGCTACTTCGGCGTCAAGGTTTCCATGGATCGTCTATTGGTAAGTCTCATATTTTCGTTTTCCTTCTTTCCTCAATTAACTATAACTCATATTCATCTTCTTTCTTTCTCTCATAGCGATGCTAGCACATTTGTTCTTGTTTTGAAGTCCATCAACTCTCCTACTCTTCAATTCCGATAAGTCTCTGACCCCTATCCTTTTTTGGTTTATCCATTCCAGTATTCATCTACAATTTGGTAGTGATTATGTTTGTAATTGATGAGTAGTTATTTTGAGGATTTTTCCCCAATTGATGAAGATGATCATGGGTATTTCTTTTATATATATATATATATATTTGAAATTAAAGTTGTGAATAATCATTTTTCTTTCTTGTTATTAATTATGTTTGTTTATTCTATTTGGATTTATTTGTTTCTTTTGGACTTGGTAAAGTTCTGTTATCAAGTGGGTATTTATTTCAGTTGGGTTTATTTTGTTGTTGGGATTACATTTCCTCTGTTTTGATTTTTTTATTTAAAAATGAAAATAGAACTAGAATATTAAGAAAGGTTGAGGATGATTTATAAGGAATCATTGGTTGCGTTTATGGTTTATATGTATGAACATGTGTAATTAACTGCCTTGAGTGATTACTAATTATGTCAATGTTACGTTACTTTTGATAAAATTAAGAGGGTTTGAATTACTTCTATTAGTGGCAGGAGCTATGTAATGGGCTACCTATAAGAAAGAAGGTTAAATGCTCATTTTAGTCCCTCAACTTTAGTGGTTTGCACATTTTTGGTCCCTTGAGAATTTTTTGCAGTTTTTTGATCCTTCAACTATACGAAATGCACTCCGTTAGTCCTTCTGTTAAATTGGACCGTTAACTCTGCTTTCGTGGCATTTTTAATATTTTTTTTGATGATGTGGAGGGCAAAATTTAAAAAAGTGATGACGTGCACAACAACT